AAGGTGTTACACTCAATTTATTGAAATATACTGTACTTTAATGCAAGTGGATAATTTGGATGATGTTGCAATTTTTAATTTGAATTATGTGAATTATTTTATTTGTAACAATGAAAATAAAAATAAAGAGTAAAATAATTCAAATGATAATAATGAGATATTTAATCCTTCTAAAATTGTGCAATAATAATGATCTAACACCTTCTAAATTTGTGCATTTAATCCTTGCATACTGTTTAATGATTTATACAAATAAAACTCAGGTTGATAGCTTGTATTTATTTAATATTGGAATCTGTCACGTAATGAGATATTTATTTATTGTCTCAAAATGAGGGATATGATATCATAGGTTTCTTGAAAAAATATTGTACAATCATTTTGACCATCAAAAGCATGTTGAAATTAAGGATAGGAATGTATGTGTTATCTTAATCTATCTACACTACAAGATAAACATTAATCATGTGTTTTGTTCAAAATAGATATCTAAGTGATAATATATTGAAAATCATTTTTTGGTTGATAGAGGTAGTAGAATTGATTTTTAGTATTTTGGTGAAATTGTTATGTTTGATATGATGTACAAAAAGAATAAATACAACTATTAACATATGAGTTAGAGAGTAAATTATGCATTTTTTTTAGGAAACCCTAACAAACATTTTTTGTCTGTCTATTTTTATTTTGACTATCAATAGTTGAACGACACTTTAAATTCCTAATTTTTCATGATGGCATCTCAAATACTAAGGTTTGGCCATCTCTATCTACATTAATTTATTTATTTCTATACATAACTTCTATGCACATATTGTTGTTTAAAGGCATATTAATTGTATGTGTCGCATATCTTCTAAGTTTAAAAGACGAAGATCTACTAAATGACATTTGTAACATCCCTCTCTCATATTGAAATTAATTTATATTTAACACTAATATTATCAAAACATAATTAGTAAAATTTATATACTTTGTATAAATGGTACAGTATGGGAACACAAATTAGAAAAACTTGACGAATTTACAATATTTCTTCAGAAATATACAAATATATTATTAACACAAGATTTCTCTTTTAAAATGAATGAAAATACATTAAAGATTTATACATCTATTTCATAAAAATTTATTATATCCGAGCAGTTCCTTTCCTACAACTCCTTGATGAGTATGACCCTAGAACGAATCATTTGTCTCCATTTCTTCTCTTTCATTACCTGAAAATAATTAATAAGGGTGAGTATTTCTCGCCCACTAAATTTCTTTTAGTATATCTTAACTAATAATAATAATTTGAGTCGTAGCCTAATACTTTATTCTAATTAATTCTCATTCAAATACATGTAGTCATACAATCATTCATCAAGCACATATAACATTTTACTCATTATACATACATTTCTATGCTGACCTATATGTTATTATACATGTATCATATCATTTCAATTCATGTGTCATGATACATAGTCCCAGTAACACCCATCGATGTACTACAACACACGTACCATAACAACATGAACTGATTTGCTACGATACATATATCATATCATACATATTCTTTACCACCTCTCATCTATATAACTTTTCATCATAATAATTGCCCCTGGGATCCTTTGAGGACTTCTAGCATAGATAGCTGCTGGTTGGCCACAACATCATGGATACACGTGTGCCGCCTCGACCCCTTTTAGCAAAGGTATAGTCAGGAGTTTCGTTGGGAGATGAGGATGTGGCCTGTGAATGTTTATTTTTAATAATTTATTGTGCACCCTTTTCATTGTTAACATTCACCATCCTCATTTCCCCAAAATTTTCCAAATTTTCTCCTTAACTCTATACCCCCAGTGTATCGCTGTACTATCTATACTCATTCTCTTTATCATTCTCAACATTTTTCATTTCACATTCTTTATATCAATCAGCATGTCATGATTCATGAGTCACAATTTATATAAATTAATAAATTACAATATATATGATAACACACCCTTTCAATGTGTTATAATTTATATCATAATCACTCTGTTTCAAGTTGCATGGACTCACGCATTATAATCTCACCTCATATTCTTTCTAAATCATATTCTCATTTCTCATTCATACATCACATGCTTTCACTCTTATTTAACACTTCATTCATTTCCATAATCTACCAGTTCAACATGTAAAGTTGTCATACAAAGTCATATTACGCAACCAATACAATACATCAAACTTAACACAGAGATTACCAAGCAATAATCACACCATACAATCGATACAATATGCCGAGGGTCGAACACCTTCAGACTCAGCCTAGCTCGTACAATCTCAATATATAGTCTCCTAACCTAAAATTCATTATAGTATATCTTTTATTACTTAATTCATATACATCTTAAGAAACTCGGTTCTAAAATCTCTTAATACTACTTAAGCCCATATTTTCTCTAAAAATATGATATTATCAGTTTAAAATAAACTTCAAACCTCTCTTTATATCAAAATACACCTTTGTCATATGATACTATCAAAATTTACAGAACTTTACTAAGTAAGATACTCATATTTCTCAAAGAACCACTAGATCTATATATACATATATAACTACAGGTAGAAAATACTCCCCTTACTTGATAACGGTTCCTTCGAACTAGTTCTCTGAGTGATCTACGGAGAGATTCCACACTATCCACAGAGAGATCTTCCAAAAGATAAGATTTTCTAAGTATTTCGAGGTATAGATCTTAAGATGATAAGAGAATCGAAGAAAAGGAATGAAATAGAGATCTGAGCTCCGAGAAACTTACTTAGATCCAAGAAGAACGGATGTTTAAGCTCAAATCTGAAGAAAATCCAGAGTTATTGAAGGTTTTCTCAGAGAAAGAAGAGGGAGAGAACGAAGAGGATGGAGAGGGATATGTGATTTGGTTGAAAATGAAGATTTTTTAGGGCGAGAGTTCCTTAAATATCTTTCAAACTCACGACTTTCTCGCTACAGTGAGAGGTTCTCGCTACAGCGAAAAAACCAGAAGTTTTCTTCCTTTGTTGTATGTCATTCTAGCTACAGCAAGAGAGCTCCTCGCTATAGCGAGAGAGTAGCATTCTTGCTACAGCGAGAGATTCTAGCTACAGCGAGAGGGCTCTAGAATGTTCCATTTTCACCGCCTCATTCTCGCTACAACGAGATATCCCACAGTTCACATCAATTAAACACTTCTAATTTCAAATAACATGGACAAATAACTAACATTAATTGCAAAAATAATAAATTACAAAATGAGAATGTTACAACATTGTGGCCCAAAAATGTAAAAAAGACTAAACATATAAAGAAGGAGGATCCATGCAAACAAACATTTGCACAAAAGCACACTACCAAAAAAAGAATTGATAAAATTATTGAAATATCTTGTACATTCATTCATTTTTAGGGGAATGTAACTCATTTTTTGTGTAAAAAGTATATTGCATTTTCATAATATCTGTAATCATGTTTTTAGGGTTTAGGGTTTAAACCCTATTTTTGGATCTTTCTTTTCTAATTGTTCTTGTATATTGGTTAACTAGGAGGTGAGAAAGTAACTTAAAAATGATTGAAAAAGAAAAGAATTACTTTCAAGAATACAATTATAAAGAAATTCCTACAATATATATATATATATATATATATATATATATATAATTGGATGGAGATACTTAGATGTGTTACTAGTAAAGTTTTATTAATGGTAAATTGTGTTAGAGGAGGTCTCTAATGTGAAATCATCAATTAATTAATTAAAAGTTATTAAAAAGTTAACTAATATCATTGATCAAGAGCTTGAATTAAGTCCTTCTAATATAAATTTTGGTTTATTACTTTGGTTAACTACGTTTCACTCTTATAGATTCATTAAGTAGTAGTTAGACTAAAGTAGAGTCTTTAATAGCAAAAGTCATTCTTGTTTAACACTTTAGTTAATTAGTATCGTGCATCAAAAGATAAACTCAAATAAAATCTCATGAATCATTGCATGATTCACATATTAGACATAGGTTATTTCATACAAACATGAAACTATCTCTTCATTTATAGATAAATTATAATCCCTTTGCATATAGCAAAACAAATTGGAAGGACATTTAAAATTCATATATTAAAGAAACTCAAACCATAATAGCAATGTCCTTATAATTTTGAAAACCATTCTCTTAGGAAATAGCTTGCTTCTTCCTCTTAAAATTTAGCACAACAAATTCTCTAATATTTTCTAAAGAATTATATATTTTTTAAAGGATTTTTTTTCTCTATATGTTTAACTATATATTAATATGCAATTGATAGACTTTATATTATGCAATATTTTAAGGTTAGAGTTGTCGAAATAAATTGACCAAAATTCATTTCACATGTATGATTTAAATATTAAATTCAAAATTTAAATTAAATTAATTCTTCTAACTTTATTAAAGGTATTTTATAATTTTTAACAATTTTTTACAAAATTTTATAAATATTTATTATTTTCATATTTATCTTTTCATAATTATTTGAATAATTTTATTATTTAATAATTAATATGACAATAAAATTTTATTTTAATTAAGAGTAAATATAAAATGCTATAATTTTTAAAATAAATATGTGAATTAAATTTAATAACATTTTAAAATCTATATTATTTAGTTAAAAATATCTTATAAATAAAATGCAAGGAAGTAAAATAATAATAAAAAAATATTGAACAAGAAAATATCTCACAAAAAATTTATCTAAAGATTTAAGATAATTTTATTTTCTTAATATATATTAGGTTATTTTAAGCTTAAATTTGAAAATTTTATTTTTAAATTAATTTTTTTTTACTTTTATTTTTTAAAATAAAATTTTAATTTTGGAAATTTAAAAAAATTACAAATTAAAATGCATCAAAAAAATAATTTTTTAGAAATATTTGTTTGATATAACTCATTATTGTTTAAAATTTTGCTTAAAATTAAGATATATATATATATATATATATATATATTTTATTTTATTTTTCTTTTCTAAAACTAGGGTTTGGACTTTGCAGTGACGGCCTCTACCTATATATCTTACTCGCTACTCTGAAGTTGGGGTTTGCCACCACCACCCAACCTTCATCTTCACCTCGTGCGTGTGCTTTTGCGATTCACAACAATGGCAACTCAAATGAGCAAAAAGAGAAAGGTGAGTAATTCATTACGCTACCTTAATAAATTTCGATCCATGTTCCTAATAATCAACCAATTACGCAGTTCGTAGCCGATGGAGTGTTCTTCGCGGAGCTGAACGAGGTTCTCACGCGAGAGCTTGCGGAGGACGGTTACTCCGGTGTCGAAGTTAGGGTTACGCCGATGCGCACCGAAATCATCATCAGAGCCACTCGAACACAAGCCGTTCTCGGTGCGTCCCTCTGTTCTAGAACCGTCCATTGCTCTGTTGTTGGAATCTAATTTTGAAGGTTCTTTTTCTTATATATATATATATATATATATGTATAGGGGAGAAGGGAAGGAGAATCAGAGAACTCACCTCAGTGGTTCAGAAGAGGTTCAAGTTTCCAGAAAACAGCGTTGAACTTTACGCTGAGAAAGTCAACAATAGGGGTCTTTGTGCTATTGCTCAGGCTGAATCTCTTCGCTACAAGCTCCTTGGTGGCCTCGCTGTACGCAGGTATAGATATACATTCTTTTTTTATGCATGATCTTATATTTATTGTTTATAATTACAATTCTTTTTGAAATAATTGGTAAGCATAATTTTGTTAGTTGCATTGTTTTATTTTGAATTGATAATTTATTATTGTGCAAAATAAATCTAATGTTGGTGGATAAACATAATTTTATTATTATTTAGACCTAATTGTTCCCGCGATGGACATAATTTCTATTAGTAATTTGACGGTTTATTTAACTGCTCTTGCATGAATGTGATACTTCTGTGGGTTTGTGGATGCTTGAACTTTTTTGCTTTCAGGGCGTGCTATGGTGTTTTGAGATTTGTTATGGAGAGTGGTGCCAAGGGATGTGAGGTTTGTTCTCCAGACATTGGTTGGCTTTGATGTGGTGCTGTTGTGGTGTTGCTTTGTGTGATAATAGTTGCTTGATTTGTCCAGGTCATTGTGAGTGGAAAATTGCGAGCTCAAAGAGCCAAATCTATGAAGTTCAAGGATGGGTACATGATTTCTTCTGGGCAACCAGTCAAGGATTACATTGACTCTGCAGTTAGACATGTTCTCCTTAGACAGGTTAGTTTGCTTCTATTCTTCATAGTTTCTGATTGAATTTCCTTTTCAGGTTTTGATGCATTTTGTTTTAATGTGGAGTGTGACCCTAATTGTTTTCCTCTCTGGCCTGTAGGGTGTTCTCGGTATCAAGGTGAAGATCATGCTTGATTGGGATCCTAAAGGAAAACAGGGTCCTAAAACTCCTGTCCCTGATCTTGTTACTATCCATACTCCAAAGGAGGAGGAAGAAAACATCCGACCTGCTGCTGTTTTGGCTAATGATGCCGAGGTCCCTGTTGCTTGAAATGTTTTTAAGTGCTATGGAGCAGTAATTCATAGTAGCTGAGTGCCTAGTTTTTATTGTATGCAATGTTTGTTTTCAAAGACATTCAAAATTTTCTTTCTAGAATTTTGAAGAAATTGTCATACTCAGTTACAAGTATTTAAGTCTTAAGTTTTATGTTTGCATTTATCAACTAATCACACATTGATTAGGAATAACTCCAGTTTTTTGTACCTGTCCATTGCATATGATGCTTAAGAATCTTACTATGTTCCATAATGTTAGTAGAAAACATTTTACCATGATCTACACATTTGTCATCCAAGTGAATTGACCTCCCTAGTGAATGAACGGTATCCAGCGAACTTCTTGTATGTTAATCATTCTTTTTGTACGTCTTTTCATAAAGTAATGCTTTTATTTGGGTTTTAATAGAATGTTTGGCTGATTGAGTACACTGTATACCTTGTCTTCGACCTGGAAAACTTTAAATTAGATTAAAACTTGCGCCGTCTCTTATGAACATACTGTTAAAATTAGACGCTAATGGCTTGAAAATACCTATCGACATTCTAAAGTCAATGTCAGAGTACTCTCATACTCAGGCTGTACTTGGTGCATTCCCCCTTCTATTATTTGGGTTATAGAGTTTTTTTCATTGTAATCTAATGTTTCTCATTTTGAATGATTTGATTTGTTTCTGTTTTTGGGATAGTGAAATATGGGTGAGAAGCAAAGGTGAATTAGGGCGCTTGCCTTAGTACACAGATGAGGTTCAAGTTTCCTAAAAATTGTGTGGGAGTCATATACTTAGGTCAATATTAGGGTTCTGCTATTGACAGTTCTAGTCTATCTGCTACATTCTTCTAGTTTCAGAGGTGTAAACATGGTTGTTGAAGTTATCTCGTAAAATCGAATGAGTTATGATCTCAGAAAGCAAATATGAGTTGGATGGACGGTAAAATCGTTTTGGAATGAACTCGGCTGCACTTGGTTGAAATTGAATCAACCACCGAGTTTACGTGCATTTGTGACGGGAGTGGCCTTCGGCTGCTACAGGTCTGATTTTCCCTTTTTGCTCTTAAGATGACTAAGCATATTTGATTTCTGATTTAAAAATAATTTTTTAAAAATAAAATTTAATACAAATTTGTATTAGATGTTATTTTAGTAAGGGTAAAACAGTCGTCTCAATTTTTAGACCTAATTTCACTTTTTCCGACGGTTTTCTTCTTCCTTGCTCTGTTCAACACCGAGCACCCTGTACTCTCGTCTCTATTGACGTTCTGCTTTGCAACTGGAGCCAAGTAATAAAATCCCACTTCTCTACTTTCTTTTTCTTCGCATCTTTATTCGACGCACTCTCCTGTCTTTTCTGCTTAGCAACAAAATATTCAATCCAGCAGTGTCACTTATCTTCAATGGTTTATCTGGCAAAATTCACTTCCTTTCTTCACTCTATTCTATGATTCTATTGTACTGTCTTTGTTATGTTTTTCCCTCACCTCCAACCTTCCATCCCAAACGAACAAACAGATTGCATCCCTTTCACCGCTGACTACAGTGCATGAACTGCAAGCCACACGCTAGCGACATTCTATGAACTGCGACCAGAACTTCCAAGCTTCGACTAGTTGATGTAAAAACAGAGCATCCTGCAGCAGCGGATTTTTGGGAACGATCGACCTCCAAACTGCAGCAAATTTGTGTGAATAGAGTTCTGTGAAAAGAGCTCCTTATTCTTACTTAAGATTTGGTCCTATGTGTGTTTTAAACTTTGTTATTATGATATGTTTCGTTATTTTGATTTTTTCTACTATATCTTTGCATGAGGTATAAACTCTTATGAATTTACGAAGAGTTTACTTAAACTTTTGAGTTCAACAACCATGAGTGTTAATGCTTAAAATTAGTCATTTAGACATGGAAAATGAACTTTGTTGCTTATATGTAGTATGGTAGTTTTGTATTGTTTCATTTTTTAATGCTGTTAATCAAGTGTGTGCTTGAGGCTGAAGTGTGATTATGGCTTCTCCATCCATGGTATTCTGGTTTTTGTTTGCTGTAGTGTTTATTGCCACTGAGGAATGTGATGGCTTTGAAATATTTTTCTCAAAGCTGATGTGTAAGTTCCAGTTATTCTCTTGTACATTTTTTTGTGTGAAAGATGGGATGATATATTGTTTTTTATGGATGTGTATTGTGATTTTATGGACGTGAATTTGTTTATCTTGGAGCTTATCATGTTTGGTCATCTATAAAGCAGATTGGAGCTCATGTACCAAGTTTGTGTCGGAAGATGACTAAATCATTTTATGTCCCCTATTCCATCAAAACTCATGAAACGCTTTGTATTCATGCAGTAACGTTGGGGGTTACATGTTCTATTTCATATGTCTTTTCCTTGTGCTTGGATTGCTTCAGTGTCTTTTTTTTTTTTTTTCTTCTGTATTCGAGGTTGGATACAAGGATATATTTGAAATGAGCTTATTTGTGGTTACCTAGCTTCAGGTCCCCTCTACCCACACTACACTTAATCTTTGGTCACCTCACCTGTAGTTTTATTAGTCTTAAAATGTTTATTAGAATATGTTAAAATTCGAACATTTTGTTGTTGTAACTAGTACATATTGAGGAGAGTTTTGCCTGCCTTTACATGGAAGTTGACCTTTGCGTTGTTGCTTGCTTTTGTTTGTTTGCACCAAGTGTTGTTTGACTTTTCATGTTTATCACACTTGTATTCCATTTCACTTATTTCTGTATCAGACTTGCTTTATCAAATGGTGCCTTGTCACTGAACTTTGTAGTACACAAACATTGTGTGGTCTTGGAGGTTATTTATCAAAGATTTTTTTTAGTGAATGTTGTACAATATTTCGGTTCGTCATGGTTGGGTTTAATTTGGAAGTCGGATGATCAGTTGATTAACATGAAATGACAAATTTGCAATTGTTAATCTGCACAATATTCTTATGTGTATACGTAGTCCTCGATATTTGGAGCCTCAGCTGAATTGGGCATACCATTCATATAGTTTTTTTTTAAAGAATCAGGTATGGGAACTTACATCAGACGTTGCAGAATAACTATTATAAGAAATGGTATTACAATAATTTAACAAAATAAATGCTATGGAACACTATTTTGTCCAAAACATATAAAAAGAAATGAAAATCAAACAAAACATTTAAACGCCGCAGATGGTTTCCTTTATACCTTTGTTGTTCTGAGCTCATCATTGCGTCCTTGGGTGAAGAAAATTGGGCTGTCTAAATTCACATTTTGGTAGAAAATGGTTTCTAATTCGCTGGGTTTCATAGTTGAAGATCCCAGTGTTAATCTTCAAAATCGATTTAATTCATTTAAGTTGAACTTATAAGTTCATATTATTTTATTTATGAAATTTTATTATTTACATTTCTTTAAGTAAATATTTATAATTATTTTATCACTTTATATATTATATCTTGTTATCTATGTAACTTTATTATCCGAAGTATATCTTATTATTTTAATATTATTTGTAAGCTTAGTCGTTCTGAATTAAAATGAAACTTGTTTTTATTGTTTCTTGTTCTCGTTTATTATATAATTTGTGCCTTGTGTCAAAGAACTATTATTAGGTAGGTGGAATAAAATAGCACGAGATATTTTTAAGCATGCGAGTTTGTTTTGGTAACATAACAGTTATGGTGCATTTTTAGATTCTTTCACTGTATCTTAAAAGAAAATTTCAAAATAAATTATTTAAATTGAGATATATTATATCTATATCTATTAATTTCATTGCAGCTTTTTTATGGCATCGGAAGAGAGGAATTAGGATTGTCGTCAAGTTATTTTGATACTTGATATTTTTATTAGATCTAAGAAGTTTTGTATTTTAAAATTAGTATTGATATTATAATACTAGTTAGTAAGATGTTAAATTAAGTTAATGTACTAAAGTATAATAAAACATACATGTGCGTTTGTTTGAAAAAAAAAAACAAAAAACTGAGTATTTAAAAACAACGCAAATTTTGGGAGAAAAAAAAAATGGAAGTAATGAATTCTGCAATTTATAGAAGAGAAAACATGTTTTATGTACAAAACTAAATTGAGTAATTGTTACGATTTTTGACTGAAGGTATTATAAATAATAAATTCAGTATACTTAATTTATAAATGTAAATATACCTATTCACAAAAAAATAGAAATTTATATAAGATAATAAAAATTTATAAATTAAAACATATGTGTATTCATGAAAAATTTAAAAGTTTATATAAAGTACCGTAAGAGAAATTTTATAAAGGCGAACATAGACATTTACAAAAAAAAATCAGAAAATTTATATAAAGTAATGAAAAAAGTTAAATAATAATTTTTATTTTTAAAATTTAGAATAAAATTAATAAAATGATGAATAAAAAGTAAAATCATTCAAATAAAAAATGTGTAATTCATACATTATTTATAGTCAATTTTAATTTTAAAAAATCAATGTTTCAGTATACTCATCTATAATATAGATGTTAATTTTTATATAGTTTTAAAGAAATAATTATAACATATTATTATCATGTGTGTGGTAAATTTGTTAAGTTTAAAAATTAAAATATATAAGCGTTGAAATTCATAACTATTAATCTCATCAATTTCCTTTATATCTGGTAAAATAAATAATTTATAAAGGTCAATCAAACATTAACTTTTAAGAAAAAAGAAAATTATCCTTAAAATAATAAAGGAAAAAATTAATAAAATGACACTATATTTTAAATTTTTTTAAGATTTAAATATGTTATTAATCTTTATAAATATATCATATTTTGCTATAAGTTTTTATAAAATATTTTATTAGAATTTAGTCTCTGAAATATTAAAAAGTTAGAATTTAGTTAATTTGCATCAACTTTTTTTAGTTAAATGTTAAGCTAACCAAGAAAATCGTTTAATACTTCTATATATTATGTCACGATATTTAATTTTTTAATATTTTATTATTTAAAAATAATATTTACAAATCAATCCCTAAACATATTTTAAATATTTACCAAAAAAAATCTTCTAAACTCAAATATTTTTTTCTCTCTTTCTGCCTCACTCCTAACCTACTCCCACTCCCACTCTTTCCCTTTCCTTCACCCTACACCCTTAACCCCTCCCTCTTCCCTTCTCCTTTCCCATTCCCTCACTCCATTCTCTCCTCCTCCTCCACCCAAACTCACACTTTTTCTCATTTCTTGCTTGTGAATTTTGAGTTTTTTTTTTTTTTTTATCCATGCACACTTGATGTTATTATCTTTGTGTGTTTATATGTTATGTTTCAACTTTTATAAAAGCTTTAATATGAATTTTTTATTAGTTGTTATATTTTGTGTTTGAATGTT